CTCTGGCTCCAGCCCGTGTCTCCTCAGGATTCCCAGACCTGAGTGTGGCCCAGGTCCTTGGCATTGGAGGTCTCCACAGATGTCTCCAGGTTGGTGACCTTTGACCCTAAAGGGGATGGGGTTCTTGGTCAACAGGTGAAGAACCTGACAGAGGAGATGGCTGGGCTGGACGAGATCATTGCCAAGCTGACCAAGGAGAAGAAAGCTCTGCAAGAAGCCCACCAACAGGCCCTGGATGACCTTCAGGCTGAGGAGGACAAGGTCAACACCCTGACCAAGGCCAAGGTCAAGTTGGAGCAGCAGGTGGATGATGTGAGTAGTAACAACCATGCTCCATCCCTCTCAGGTTGGGATTTTTCAGGCAACACCAATGGCCAAGGGGTTCCCAATCCCTAGAACTAACTTCCATGACCCCTGGGGCCCTTTTCTTTCTACAGTTCCTCACTAGGCTGGGTCTCTAATGCTTCATGCTTGCAGGGCTAACTCTGCTGGTTTGACTTCCAATCCCATTGGACTTTGGGTTTAGACGGGAGCAGAAGAGGATGCACTGTGGATCTCAGGTTTCCTACATCCTGTTCATTTTCTTTTCTCCACCAGCTGGAGGGATCCCTGGAGCAGGAGAAGAAGGTGCGCATGGACCTGGAGCGAGCCAAGCGGAAGCTGGAGGGTGACCTGAAGCTGACCCAGGAGAGCAACATGGACCTAGAGAACGACAAGCTGCAGCTGGAAGAAAAGCTCAAGAAGTAGGAGGCTGCAGCGGCCAGGAAGGGCTACTGAGGGTGTCTGGCCTGAGGGTTAGAGTGCAAGGTGCTGCAGCACCTCTGGCCAAGGCTGCTCTGGGCACACAGCCCCCACCCCCCACCTTCACCCTCGGGGCCAGGGGGAGGGGACTGGTCCTCGAATACCAAGGCAGGAGAGGATGGGCACAGAGAAAGGAAAACCACCTGTCACCCTCTTCTCCTCCAGGAAGGAGTTTGACGTTAATCAGCTGAACAGTAAGATTGAGGATGAGCAGGCACTGGCCCTTCAGCTGCAGAAGAAACTGAAGGAAAACCAGGTGAAGTTCTTCTGGGTGTAGCCACCGGGAGCTCAATGGCGCTCAGGCAGCTGAGGCTGTAGGAGCTGCTTAGGGTTCTAGATAGTATCTAGAATTCCAAGCCACCCGGAGGCCCCAACAGCCCTGACTTACAGGCACTTGGGAACATCAGCCTTCCCCTATTAGAACAATAGTGTCTTATTTCAGCAGGACTATTTGGGGGAGAGGGTGGGGATCATACTTACTAAAAGGGCTTCTCTTGCTGAGCTATGCTCCACCTCATGGGTTTTCTGCTCTGGGACAATTGGTAGGGCTCCGTTCTCCTCTAACCCTTACTTTTGGTGCTTCTCCCCACTTCATGGGGGTGAGAAGGGCCTTCATGGAGCACCTTGCCATGGGAAGCTCTGTTCTTATTCTTCCCGGGTATTTACCCTAGCCACTAACTCAGGCTGGATCCCCACAGAGCACCGTGATATGGAGTCAACTCCCGCAAACTCAAGCAAGTCACTCCCCATCCTGAGCCTCAGATTCTCCTCTCATCTGTAAAATGGGACTAATGACCCCTGCCTTGCAGAGGACCAGAAGAGACATTGTATAGGAACCCACTTTGTCAACCAGGAGGCAACATATATATGTTATTTTAATATAGCTCAGGCTAGAGAAGTGAGCCAGCCACTTGCAAGAAGATGTTCTTTTGTCTTTCGCATGGCTTTCTCATCCCTCTGCAGGAGGAGATTGAATTAACAGCCAGAGTCTCCCTTGCCTTTAATGAACCCTGAATTTTAATGTGCTTTTAGTCCCATATTTGTCAGAAGAGCCCTGGAAGCAAGGAAGGCAGGTACTCTCGTTCCCATTTCATAGCTGCAGAAGCTATACGGCCACACCTGGACATAGTGACCCCAAGGCCACAGGGACTCAGCTATTTATCCTCTCATTTTCTTATGAGACCACTAGTGGAGAGAGCTAATCTCCCCGCAGCATTCAGGGTCGATGGCCTAGGGTGCAAGTGACACATGAACACAATTCCCCTCCTCTGGGGGCTGCTCAGGGGCTGGTCTGCCTTCAGTGATACTCTTCCCTCCCATCTTCTTGGGTGCCCCTTCTGGGTTTTAGCCTGAATATTAGGACATCCCCAGGTTCTCCTAGCCTGGTCTGGGCAACCTCTTTGACTGTTGAACCCAGAACAACTGTGCTGTTATCCTCACCAGGTCTTGGCAGTGGGCTGTGGCTCCTCCTTCTTCCTGCCCAAGCTCTTGCACTCAGTCCCCATTCTCCATCCTGGGAGCAAGGGTCTGGTGGGTCTCTCTCTCCTGCTCCCAGGACCCCCTCACACACATTCCGTCACCACCATCCATAACCACAGGTGAAGGGATCCCACCAATCCTCCCCTCTGCTCCTCGCTAGTCAGACAACAGATCAAAATTGTAAATGGGACATTCTGCCAATTTAGTCAGGCCAAGGCTAAGACCAGAAGGTAGGGACATGATACAGAGGAGGGCACCCTGCTAGCACTCACCGGGCCTGGAAGGGAACAATTAAGCTGGAACCGAGCCCTGGGCCTAAATAAAGTAAGCCCTGGAGAGTGAGGAATATGGTTGATTGGAGTTTGTGGTTAATTCGGAAGATTACAAAAGCTTTTGATTATTTGGAGGCATACTGTTGCAAACATTTGGAAAATACAAGCACCAGCTTTCCTGCCTTATCATTAGCAGAGCAGAGCCTAGTGAATCTGTGGAATCTTTGAGACCCAGGACCTCACGGGATCTCAAGATCCCTCTCTGAAGACAGATTCTCAGGATTCAGGGCTGCAGATGCGCAGACTGGGTCTGAGATGCCCCTCCGGGAAATGCCTTGAGAGTTTGGCTTCAACCAAATTCCCGACGGTCTGTGCATTATAGGATGTTTGGCAGCCTCCCTGGCCCCTGCCCACTAGATGCCAGTAGCAACACCCACCCCCTCCCCAAGTCACGACAATCAAAAATGTCTACAGACCTTGTTGACTGTCCCCTGGGGTACAGAATGTCCCCTGGTGAGAACCACTGCTCTGCAGGACCTGGGTGCTTTGGCCAGGAGCCTTCTAGAGCCCTGGGGAGGGGGCTGTGATGGAGGGGTCAGGCGGTGGGTCTGAGCCCCCTATACCCTGCCCAGGCGCGCATCGAGGAGCTGGAGGAAGAGCTGGAGGCCGAGCGCACTGCCCGGGCCAAGGTGGAGAAGCTGCGCTCAGACCTGTCCCGGGAGCTGGAGGAGATCAGTGAGCGGCTGGAGGAGGCCGGCGGGGCCACGTCCGTGCAGATCGAGATGAACAAGAAGCGCGAGGCTGAGTTTCAGAAGATGAGGCGGGATCTGGAGGAGGCCACGCTGCAGCACGAGGCCACGGCGGCCGCCCTGCGCAAGAAGCACGCCGACAGCGTGGCCGAGCTGGGCGAGCAGATCGACAACCTGCAGCGCGTGAAGCAGAAGCTGGAGAAGGAGAAGAGCGAGTTCAAGCTGGAGCTGGACGACGTCACCTCCAACATGGAGCAGATCATCAAGGCCAAGGTGGGCCTCTACTCTCCTCTCCTCGCCCTCTCCTCTCTCACAGCCTCGCAGTGTGCCTTCCTTCCACTTCCTCTCTGCCATCGCTCTTATTCTCACTCCCTTCATCACCCTCTGGTCTCTCTCCCTCTCTCCCTTGCACCTGCCTTGCCCTCCACCTGTGTCTCCATCTCCTCACCATCTTTCCCTTCTTTAATTCATGCATCCTCTCCAGATTGTGCCCCTCCAGCCCCACCCCATTTCACCCCCCACCCCCTGCCTCTGTGCACTCCCCAACCTTGGCCCTCCCTTCCTTCCTCCAGTCAACCCAGCCCCTCCCACATTCACCTTTCTCTTGTCCCTTACCGCCTGAAGGCAAACCTGGAGAAGGTGTCCCGGACAATGGAGGACCAGGCCAACGAGTACCGGGCAAAGCTAGAAGAGGCCCAGCGCTCCCTCAATGACTTCTCCACCCAGCGAGCCAAGCTGCAGACGGAGAACGGTGGGTGCCCCTAACCAGCCCTGTGCCTGCCTCACGGAAGAGCATCAGTTGCCCCCTTCCATGGCCCACAAACCCTTGTTCCCACCTGCAGGTGAGCTGTCCCGGCAACTGGAGGAAAAGGAGGCACTGATCTTGCAGCTGACCCGAGGGAAGCTCTCCTACACCCAGCAGCTGGAGGACCTCAAGAGGCAGCTGGAGGAGGAGGGCAAGGTGAGGCCCGGCTACGGGGCAGCAGACAGGATTGATGGCAGCCCTGGGGCAACCAACCTCAGAAATGGAGCCTGGAAGCTGCAGAGAGGCCGCTAATGAAAAAACCTCCAGGCCAGGTTCTTCCACTCTTCAGCTAAGCCACACCCGAACATCACTGAGTGCCTCCTTTCTTATTTGGAAGGGATGGGCAAACTGGGAAGGTACCTTAAGATGTTGAGATTCCACACCAGCCCTCACCCTGAAGGAGGCCGGGGCTTGGTTGAAGTTCATAGATATGAAAAGGATCTGGAGAATGGGGACAGGGTCTTCCCTCCCACCTTCCCAGATGCTGAACCCACCTCCCGGTGCTGCCCTTCCCAGGCGAAGAATGCCCTGGCCCACGCGCTGCAGTCAGCCCGGCACGACTGTGACCTGCTGCGGGAGCAATACGAGGAGGAGACGGAGGCCAAGGCCGAGCTGCAGCGTGTCCTGTCCAAGGCCAACTCGGAGGTGGCCCAGTGGAGGACCAAGTATGAGACGGACGCCATCCAGAGGACCGAGGAGCTGGAGGAGGCCAAGTGAGTCCTGGGCAGCCCCCAACCCTGCTTCTAAGAGAGGAAGGCTCAAGAGGACATGGGTAGAGACAGGCAGAGTGGGCACGGGAGGCAGATTTGAGGTAGAAGAGAGGAGGTGGGGAGAAACGTGGTGGGCAATACAGGTGCTTGCGAGGGAGCTGGGATCCTGCACTCTGAGTGAACCCTGGCTGGCCCTGACTCACTTCCTGTGACGGGCGAGCTTTTGGCCCGGGTTATACCTGATGCTCACGTATAAGACGAGCAAAAAGCTTGTTGGTCAGAGGAGCTACCGCCGATCAGCCTGGGTGGGGAGAAGTGAGGGCTGCCATCCTGATGCCGCTTCCCGTAGGGAAGAGCCTCTGTTCTAGGCACCCGAAGCCCTGGCTCCCTGGAGGCTGGGGTTCCAGGGTCTGAAGGGCTGCTCAGTGTCCCAAGGAGCTGTGTGGGAGGGTCGGGCCCTCCTCATCTGGCAGTTCAGGGAGGGGCCGTCCCAAGGCCCCGCTGTTCCCAGGTAGAGTGACACACATACACCCAACCGCGCCGGGCAGGAAGAAGCTGGCCCAGAGGCTGCAGGACGCCGAGGAGGCCGTCGAGGCCGTCAACGCCAAGTGCTCCTCGCTGGAGAAGACCAAGCACCGGCTGCAGAATGAGATCGAAGACCTGATGGTGGACGTGGAGCGCTCCAACGCGGCCGCCGCGGCCCTGGACAAGAAGCAGAGGAACTTCGACAAGGTGGGCCCAGGCTGGGGACTCGCAGCCAGGGGCCAGAGCAGGCGGGCAGGCGGGAGTCAGGAACGTCCTCCCAGGAGGCAGAGGCTGGGAGGAGGCTGAGCCCAGGAGAGGGGCCTGGGCGCCCCTGGACGTGCGGCTGGGGCTGCCCGGTGAGCCGCGTCCCGTCCCCGCAGATCCTGGCCGAGTGGAAGCAGAAGTACGAGGAGTCGCAGTCGGAGCTGGAGTCCTCGCAGAAGGAGGCGCGCTCCCTCAGCACCGAGCTCTTCAAGCTCAAGAACGCCTACGAGGAGTCCCTGGAGCACCTGGAGACCTTCAAACGGGAGAACAAGAACCTGCAGGGTGCGGGCCCAGGCCGGGGGCGGGGGCGGGGGCGGGGCAGGGAGGGTCCGCACGTGGCGCCACCCAGCGGCTCCTAGAGGCGTGCCCCCCGTTGGAGCCCGGCTGCCCCCAGTTGAGCGGCCCGCCCCTCCCACAGAGGAGATCTCCGACCTGACTGAGCAGCTGGGCTCCAGTGGAAAGACCATCCACGAGCTGGAGAAGGTCCGCAAGCAGCTGGAGGCCGAGAAGCTGGAGCTGCAGTCGGCCCTGGAGGAGGCCGAGGTGAGGGCCTGGCTCTGCCTGCACCCCTGCCTCCGACCCTCTCCTACCCACCCCTGCCCTCCTGTCTCTGACTCTGCACTCTCCCTCACCTGGGGGTGACGCTGACCCAAGACAAAATCTATCAGCTCCTTATTCTGAGTCCAAGGTCATATACCCACTACCCATGACTACCTCCAAAGCCAAGGTCTGTGCAAAGGAAAATGCCACGCACAGCTTGATCATAGGTTTGTTTCCCACTGGGTTTATAAAGTTGAAACCTGGCCATCATAACAACCCCTCAGACGGGGTGGGAGCATGGGCTCCGGACTCAAACAGACTTGAGTTTGAAACTTGGCCTCAGGACCACCACTTTGTCATTGGGCAAGTTCCTTAAGCTATCTGTACCTCGGTTTTCTCGTCTGTAAAATGGCATCAGTTGTACACACCTCGTGAGATTTTATGCATGGCTATTATGAAGATTAAACGAGGTATCGTGCTTAAGCGCTTAATATATGTTAGCTATTGTTACTGTTCATTTGTAAGAACCTAGCGATAGCCCTGAGATTTGGGGCTTCTACAGGGTGAGAGACCTGGGAAACAAGGAGAAATGTTCGAATTTCTGGTTGTAAAAATCCTTCCCTTTTCTGTGCTATTTTAGATGGGTCAGGATCACGCAGTGTTGGTGCTGGAGGGTCTTGACAGTTGTGAGCTCAGAACACTTTCCTTGACAGAGGAAACTAGGGGTATCCAGCACTTCCTCCCCCAGAGCACCCGATGGCCTGGGATGCAGGTCCCCCCTCCCCATCTCTTCTCAGCTCTTCTCCTCTTGGTTGACACCTTGCATCCTCCCAGCCTCCCTCCCCAATGTACCCTGTTCCCTGACGTCCTCGGACCCTGTCTCCCCACCCACCTCCAGGCCTCCCTGGAGCACGAGGAGGGCAAGATCCTGCGGGCCCAGCTGGAGTTCAACCAGATCAAGGCAGAGATGGAGCGGAAGCTGGCAGAGAAGGACGAGGAGATGGAGCAGGCGAAGCGCAACCACCTGCGGGTGGTGGACTCCCTGCAGACCTCCCTGGACGCGGAGACGCGCAGCCGCAACGAGGCCCTGCGGGTGAAGAAGAAGATGGAGGGCGACCTCAACGAGATGGAGATCCAGCTCAGCCACGCCAACCGCGTGGCCGCCGAGGCCCAGAAGCAAGTGAAGAGCCTCCAGAGCTTGCTGAAGGTACCTGGTGACTCTTGGAAGCAGGAAGTCACCTCACCCAGAGAGGGGCGGTGGCCGAGTTGGGGGGTGGCGTCCCATCACAGCACCAGATCCCTCCTGCCCCGGGGCCGTCGCAGGCACCTCCCACAGGTCCCACCTGAGCCACCGCCAGGGGCTCTCCGCAGCATCCAGTTCAGCTGACGGCCTCCTGATGGGCCAGAGCCCAGCTGCCTCTCTCACGCCCACTCTCCTGATGCGCAGGACACCCAGATCCAGCTGGATGACGCGGTCCGTGCCAACGATGACCTGAAGGAGAACATCGCCATCGTGGAGCGGCGCAACAACCTGCTGCAGGCCGAGCTGGAGGAGCTGCGGGCCGTGGTGGAGCAGACGGAGCGGTCCCGGAAGCTGGCCGAGCAGGAGCTGATCGAGACCAGCGAGCGGGTGCAGCTGCTGCACTCCCAGGTGAGAGGCCAGGAGAAACCTGCCGAGCAGCAGAGCCAGGACACCTAGCGATGCTCTGAATCAGATGGCCTGAGAAAGCATATGTCCAGGCACATGGATCATAAATTATTTCATCTCTGGGACCAGCTCGCCTCTGTTAGTCATGGCTGCGGAACCACAACCTTGAGAAAGGGGTCTACACTTAAAAGCTAAGAGTGTCATGGTGGATTGGTGGTGCCTGGCAAAATCACAAATCTGGGAGTCGTGGAATGCACGCTGTTATGTGATATCCTACCTCTAGAAGACAGCCAGCCTCAGCTTGCTGTATTAAAATGGGACTTTTGGGCTTCCCTGGTGGCGTAGTGGTTGAGAGTCTGCCTGCCGATGCAGGGGACACGGGTTCGTGCCCCGGTCCGGGAAGATCCCACATGCCGCGGAGCGGCTGGGCCCGTGAGCCATGGCCGCTGAGCCTGCGCATCCAGAGCCTGTGTTCCGCAACGGGAGAGGCCACAACAGTGAGAGGCCCATGTACCGAAAATAAATAAATAAATAAATAAAATGGGACTTTTGGAGTTGAAAGAAGCACAACTGCATCTACTTGCAAACCAAATTCTCCACAGAACACCATTTTTCTGCAATCCCATACACACTGTTTTCAGCTATACTCGGTAATGAGTTTTTATGTCCATCTCACTGCACTGCCCTGTGGAGTTTTGTTCCGTAATCTAGTACATATGGGAATGACATCACCCACGGATGTGGTCCTCTCTTCCTTACCCCACTCCTTCTATAACTATAATCGCTTCCAGGATACAGTCCCTTTAACCAAGTTTTTCCCATTTTCCTTGGAATATTTTCATACTCCTGCACAGACGTGTTACTACAGATCTCAGGAGTAGAACTACAGACCCTTTCCTGCTTGAAGTCTTTCTTCAGAGCCGAGTCCCTTTAGATATATTGTCTAGAATATATCTATTTTCATAGGAAAAGAGAAAGCAGGTGCAAAACAAGGAAAATACTAAGAACAAGACATGTTTTTAAAAAATGACCAGTTCTAATTTTCTCTGGGTAAAAGTGTAGAATCAGGCAGCAAAGCATACATTCAATAGTTTTCTTTGCCTTTATCTAGAACACCAGCCTCATCAACCAGAAGAAGAAGATGGAGGCAGACCTGTCCCAGCTTCAGGGCGAAGTGGAGGAGGCAGTGCAGGAGTGCAGGAACGCCGAGGAGAAGGCCAAGAAGGCCATCACGGACGTGAGTGACCACTCCCCTTCTTGCCCTCCCCAAAAGACTCGAACCAGGCCTGTGGGTCCAGGCCAGGCCACTGTGCTGTAACAGCAGTGACTCTGCCACTCTGTGGGTTTGAGGGCCTCAGGGAGCAAACGGCAGGATGGGAAAGAGGTGATCCTTAATGGGAAAGAGGAGGCCCCGGGGTCCTGTTCTTTTACGCTCTCTGCCGTGCACAGGCCGCCATGATGGCGGAGGAGCTGAAGAAGGAGCAGGACACCAGCGCGCACCTGGAACGCATGAAGAAGAACATGGAGCAGACCATCAAGGACCTGCAGCACCGGCTGGACGAGGCCGAGCAGATCGCCCTCAAGGGCGGCAAGAAGCAGCTGCAGAAGCTGGAGGCCCGGGTGCGGGAGCTGGAGAATGAGCTGGAAGCCGAGCAGAAGCGCAATGCAGAGTCGATCAAGGGCATGAGGAAGAGTGAGCGTCGCATCAAGGAGCTCACCTACCAGGTGCGGGCGCGGCGGCTGCTCTGGGGCCAGGCTCTTAGGAGTGGACGTGAAAGCGCATCTCTTGCCCCCCCCCCCCGACCCACACAGGCCCCACACAGAGCCACCCAGCCCTCTTGCCACCTGCTCCTTGAGAAGCTGTCTTGAGATTAATTTTCTTTCACAATCTCTGCAGATAGTTTGGCTTGAGTCCATGAATTTTTCTAGCGAAGGGAAAATCTACTTCTACTTCTTGAAAGCTCTTTGAACCAGCATTTCCCCAGTTTTTTAATGACCTGAAGTGCTACCATGAAGGCTTCAGAACAGTCCAAGCAATCTTTCCACCAGTCTCAGAGGCAGGGGCATTGTGTGGCATTTTAGTGATAAAAGTCAGGGATGGGAAAAGGCTCAGATCTTCCATGGAACTTCTGGGACCACAAACAGAAGGCCTTAGAGAAAGAAATCCCAAAATGTTCTAAGCCCTCCATCTGTATAGCTCAGAGCTTATGCCTTTGACCTGTTATTTTCACAGTGTGCCTGGGCAGGAGAGACAGAGAAAGGGGGTATTGGTCCGTTTGACAGCTGGATATGAGAGACACAGGAAAGAGATACAGATGTAGAACTTCAGGTGTATTGTGGGCATAAGTGGCAATAGCATCCTAGCACATGCAATGATCAGGAATGATCACGCGACATTGGAGCCACTGATCCTGGTGCCCGATACCTGACCCAGTACAACGTATATTGGGTTATGATAGATTAGAATGATCTGGATTTTGATAATCCCTTCTTTCTGCTTTCCTCATTAGTCCTCTCTGGTCACGCCAGAACCACTGGCCAAGAGCACCTCTGGTGCTCCAGATGAGAGCTGGAACAGCCCTGATGTCTCCATATTATCAGATGAAGAAATCCCGTGTGGTTCCGAGCCCCTCCTCCCATTTCTCATGTTAGGGCCACAGCCCTCCTTGCTTTTTAGATCCTGGACTGAGGACCTTGCCATGCCCTTTGACCTATAAGTAGTGTCAGAGATGAAGTTTCCCCACCACCTCTTTGACCTGGCCTGTTGGAGGGAAGAGCAGCTAAGGCGTGAGGAGAAGATGGGGTGGTGAGGGAGGGAGAGATAATCGCTCCTGCCACCCCCCAAAAAAACTGGCTTCTCCCGTCCATATGCCCCCAGACGGAGGAGGACAAGAAGAACCTGCTGCGGCTGCAGGACCTGGTGGACAAGCTGCAGCTGAAGGTCAAGGCCTACAAGCGCCAGGCCGAGGAGGCGGTGAGTGACCCTGATGGGGCCCAGGCCTGGAGGAGGGGACAAGGAGCCGGCCCCCAGGCTGGGAGTCTAATAATCCCTGGCTCCTCTCCCCTCATCCCCCCGCCCCCCCGAACCCCCGCAGGAGGAACAGGCCAACACCAACCTGTCCAAGTTCCGCAAGGTGCAGCACGAGCTGGATGAGGCAGAGGAGCGGGCGGACATCGCCGAGTCCCAGGTCAACAAGCTGCGGGCCAAGAGCCGCGACATCGG